CATTCACGGTGCAAGTTGGCAAGAGTTTCACTAGCAAGAGTTCAACACAATGACGCAAAGCAATGACAAAGATTGACTACATCAGGCACCTAGCAAGCCTAGCAACCAGGCAGGTCGACCGCCAGTGCAGCAAGTCGGCGGCCTGCCAACACAGCTCGATGGCGGCTTGCGAGCACTACAAGTCGGCGACCTGGCAGTGATGCACTAAAGCGGCTTGCCAAAGGTGCAGCAAGGCGGCTTGCCACCGTTGCAACCACATATCACCATAGCACATGGGTGCATCCGCTTTGCAGGTGCGTTTAGGAAGTTGAGCACGTTTTGCACCGCCCTGGACATCGCGCGGGCACCAAGTCGGCGACGTGCCGACGGTTGCGCCCGATGAGCCATGTCGTCGACTTCTGCTCACCCATCCAGAGGTGAGTCAAGCGCTCCTCCAGCTGGCCGATGGACAGGTCGTCGATCGCTTGGTACGTCGACATGATGAGCCGCCACGCCTGGTGACCGGCGTCCAGACGAAGTTGATATGGCTTCAGAGCAATCTGCACCATTAGCGAGCAACAGCGATAGATGACCATGAAAGTCAGCAGGTGAGCCGTGCGGAATTCCGCCCGCAGCTCGATGTCGTCCTTGTCTAGTGTCGGCACGTTACCGTCGGCGAAACCCTTCAGCCCGGCGATATCCAACTGGGGCTTGATCGACTCCCTCCATGTTATAAGGTCACGTCGGCCTTCTAGCAGCACAAGCACGGCAATCTTGACCGGCAAAAAAATATGAAGTAGCCGTACGGCGGGTCGATCCCGCCCGCCATCACATGGGTCGTCGACGTCGGCTTCATGTTGCTTCGCTAGGGAGATCGGCGTCGACCATTGACGTCGCTGTGTGAGCTGCCTCCAGCCGCCGTTGACCGCAGCACTCGCGTCCGCATACCGCCGACTTCGACGCTGGCTTTCCTTATTACCCCTCTCGTCATCCTCGTGCCATCGTTGCTACCGACTTGGTCACCGTCGACCCGCTTGTCGTCATCGCCTTCGTTGCGTGCCTGTCGAGGTGAGGCGAACACTCCATCCGCTTCAGCACGGTGAGTCGGATGCTTGCGCGCCCACTGCAGACGAGTTACCAAGTGGAGCACCTCTATGGGGACCGTCCTATACTTGCCAGTCGTATGGCATCTCCTAGCATCAGCTAATCGTGCGTTCAGACAATCCTCTACGGCTGTATGCTCTTCCGGGGTAGGCGTCATGGTCTGCACAGGCTTCCGGCCTACGAACGACTTTGGTGATGCAAAAGTCGGCTACTATCTGAAGGTAATTTGTAGGGCCGTCCACGCTCACCGCACCATACGGAGAATCATTCAACAATGGGAGCTAGACGACGGGGGAACACACAGGTGATAAGAGTGATTGTAGCTTGTACTAGCGTTCTCCGTGACTTGTGTGTTTACTCCAAGAATTGGCAAGAGTTTCACTATATAAGTTGGGAATACTGAATGAAAAATAAAGGAATGGCAACGTGACAACATCTGGGCCTAGCAGCATAGCGACCAGGTAGGTCAACCTCTAGCGCAACAACGAGGCGACCTACCAGCAGGGCAAGTTGACAGCCTGCCAACGCAGGTGGGTGGCGACTTGCCAACTCTGCAAGTCGACGACCTGCCAGCGTTTCATCTGTGCGGCTTGCCAACGCCGCAGTAAAGTGGCTAGCCAGCGTTGCAACCGCATATGACTGCAGCGCACATGCACACCCGCTTCGCTGATACTTTGTAGTCAGTCGAGCACATTGTGCCTCGTCCCGCCCGTTGCGTAGATGCCAAGTCGGCCACGTGCTCGACGATCGCTCCAGATGCTCCACGCCAACTTCTGAGATACCAGCCCAAAGGTCGACTTCGCCAAAGCTCGCTGAAGCAAAACTCGCGCTTCTCCCAGGTTCGCAGCAGAGCAGCCTCCCGCGACCGGTTCATTGCTGCTCCATCGAACAGCGCCTCTCTATGGGCTCTTCGACCAGGTCCCTTCAAGCAAAATCTGCCCGACCTTCAATACCGTCAACCACCCAGGTAGATGTCGGCCCTCGACCTCCCTCGTCGACGGATTTGTAAAAGTTCAACGAGGGTCGACCAACTTCGTCAACCTGCTCGCCTGCGTCGACTTCTGCGGTCAGTCGGCGTCGACTTCTGCGGGCAGTCGGTTGTACCTCCCGCGCACCCGACTGCGAAATCGGCTTCGCCCAAGCGAGTACGAGGCTAATACCCGCCAACAGCTGCCACCATATTTTTTCTAACTCATGTTGTTGATGCCCCCTATATTGTTTGTCTCTTTCCAGACAACGCTTTGTTCCTTACTCACACTTTAGATAGATATGGTACGTGCTTTTTAGAACTGAACGTCATATGACACCCATATTTTTTTTTCGGTCTTTGCGTTTTACCTAAAATCAAGTATAGCTTATAGGCGGTAATTATATACGGTAACCATTGTGTTTTATTGTGGGATTGTTAACTATGGTCTGTTTCTCGTGGCCGTGCCTGCCGCTGGCATGCTGACAAGTTAGAAAATTTTTATCTGTGAGTTATTTTGTACATAGAATCCACCCTGTTTTCCGCTTTTGTTGATTTCGTTATACCCACATCATTGTTAGAATAGCATGGTTAGGGTGGTTAGATTATGGTTCGCTATGGTTTATTTAGCGAATTCTAATAAATCATCGTCATAATGCAGTTGCCACATTTCATTGTACACAAGATGCTCAACCCCTGCGCGCAAGTTTGCTCTACCAAAAATCGAAAGTCTGCACCCGTGTTATTTTTACTAGCCAGTTGCACCCACATTACAAGCCCCTCAAGCAAGTTGCAGTGGTTATGAACCAATACGAACCACAGAAACTGAAGTTACAAAGAAGTGACGGAAGTCAAAATGTCGACGAGGAGTGACAATGTTTTTAAAAGCCCCTTTTTGCTAGGTGCAACGTTGATGAAATTTAAAAGCCTTCTTTACAAGGCACTTTGGGTAAGTCGAACGAGCATCGAGTGTATCAAGAAGCTCTGTGAACGCCCGTGCACAGTCAACCCAACTGGGCTGTGGTCAATCTGGGCCTGAAGTTTTTGGTCAACGATGTAGCTGTTTTGCACTTCTCGCAGCCAATGACGAGAGTTAGAGCACATCGTCCACAATCCCGTTTTTCTGTAGAACTCCCTCATCGTGTGGACATGCGCGCATCACGAACGTATGGAGAAATGCTCGGACCGTTGGAAGGGCTTTTGACCAGTGTCTCGCGAGTGTTTGGATGGCGTGGTGCAGCACTGTAGCTTACAGTCAACACCTCTGACCAGAAGTTGGACGGGAAGTCCAGGGGTGCTGTTTGGATTCCCAAAGGTTTGACAGGACACGTCTCCTTTGACTGAGTCACCAACTTGCAAGGAAGAGTTGACAATTACACCATGCGCGCGAATTTGCCTTGCGCCGGATGGACACGCTGCACCCGAGGTTGTTTCCCCAGCTTCATGCACCCACATTACAAGCGCGTCAAGCAGAAGAGACCGAAGTCAAGCAGAAGAGACTGAAGTCAAACTAGGTAACTAGGTAGCAGGGTCTTGTTTATAAGCACATGCGAATTCTTTTTGGCTAGCTGCGAAATTGACGAACTTATGCGAAACGCACGATACAGCTTATATGCCCCCTTCACAAGGCAACCGGGAGGGGCTCAAACAGGCATCAGGAGTATTTACACGGCCCAATGTCTGATGCACAGCACACACGATTTTGCCCGGCCTCCACCCGGCTTGTTGCGCGTGTCAATGCCTTCAAACGAAAAATGGCCGCCCCTTCTCTTTGAAGCACAACGTTGACGACTGGCACCTGCTGGAGTCAGCTTCTTTGCCCTCATCTCTTTTTCCGAGGTTTTATCCTGGTGCGCAATTGTCTGAAACGGTGAGACCGAACCATGTCAAACCACGAAAAAGTATGACCGCAGTACAAATGATGCTCGTTTGAGGAGACAGCTGTTTCCTTACTCTTTGAGCGTTGAAGTGAATCTTCGCCAAGGTTTCGTCAATTCGCACCAAGCCAAAAAGGGTTTATAAAAGTATTGTAACTCTTCGTTGACAGTTTGTCTTCGGTCTTTCCATTTTGACTTCGGTTTCTGTCGATATTTTTGGCAGCTTGCTCGGGAGGCTTGTAAAGTGGGTTCAACTAGCTGGCGCAAAAAACTCGAGTGCAGACTTTCTATCCGGTACAGGGTAATTCGCGCACAGGGATTGAGCATCATGTGTAGCTGTGCATTTTGTTTTGAACCTGCGTTGACCTACTGTGGTGTACTGTATCGGGATTTTGTCAATTCAGTAAGTCCAACAGGCATCATTGGGGTGGCTTCGTGATGAACGTAGTCACAGCCTCATAAGGAACCAGAGATATGCACCACGACAGGCTGCTTGAAATTACTGACAGTGTTACTGATAGTCTTGAGCTTTCCAGCAGACTGGGCGCACGCGGATTCTTCGCGGAGTCTATTAATCGTCGAATGATTTCTGAAATCAAGACTACGAAAGGAACGTTTTCTGAAATCAGCGGCGCTATTAGAGCCCCTTGGTCATGCCTGGAGGAGTTGAATCTGATCATGGTGAGAGGAAAGGCGGCTATCAAGGAGGGAGTGTGAGCACAACTCAAGAAGCTATCGTCCAGCTTTTGGTATTTCTACAGCGGCAGCAGCAGCAGAAAAATCAACAACAGCAGCAACATGCATCGATCCTGCAGCTGCATACTCCAAGGGATGATCCACCCCTTCCCGCAGCACTCCCAGCAGCCAAGAAACCAGGTGGAACCAGCCTACGGACAACTGCAGATGTGTTTTCTGAAAGGCCAGCAGCACAACAGTCAGCAACAATCTTTCCGCACCGTGGAATTACCCCCCCACCTGCTGCTACACGCCCTGTTTCATCCCCACAGACTAATTCATTTCCGCATGATTCTTCACCTCAACTCTTCATGGGACGTTTGGCACCAAGAAATATAATGCACGGATCATTAGGCCCTGCTGCCCCATGCCCAGTGCCTGTTTTATCCTCACTGGATACCCCATCTCATGGACAATTTTCGGCACGCACCCTACCCTCTCTTCCCCGACCATTTGCATCCACACAGCACGTCCCTGGACAGTCCCTTGCTGCTGCTTCTTCGCCAATGCCTGTCTCAAATCTGCCGCTTTCTCAGTCCTCTCACAATCAATTGCTATCGCCGTGTGCCATTTTCACTGCAACTGCTGGACTGGATGAGGAGTTTTCTGCATTGGTTGCGTGGCACATGCAGCTGCAGCGTCGAAGGCGGCGGCGGCAGCAGCAGCAGAATCAGAAGCAGCAGCAGGAGCAGGAGCAGCAGCAGCCGCAGCAGCAGCCGCAGCAGCAGCAGCAGCAGCAGCAGCAGCAGCAGCAGCAGCAGCAGCAGCAGCAGCAGCAGCAGCAGCAGCAGCAGCAGCAGCAGCAGCAGCAGCAGCAGCAGCAGCAGCAGCAGCAGCAGCAGCAGCAGCAGCAGCAGCAGCAGCAGCAGCAGCAGCAGCAGCAGCAGCAGCAGCAGCAGCAGCAGCCGCCGCCGCCGCCGCCGCCGCAGCAGCAGCAGCAGCAGCTGCAGGAACACCAGACGAAGCAGCAGGAGCAACAACAACAACGACGACATCAGCTGCAGCAGCAGCAGGAGCAGCAGCATCAGGTGCATGCGGAGGGACAGAGGCATCATCAGAAGTGGCAGCAGCAGCAACAGCACGTGCAACAACAGGAGCAACAACAGCAACGACAGCAACTTCTGCTGCAGCAACAGCATCAGCAGCGAAGGCTCATAGCTGCTGTTATAGTAATGATCGCTGGGGCAGCCTCAGAATCCTCAGGGAGAAATGGATCGACAAATAAAGCAGATTTACCAAATATACATGTGCATCAGGGAGCTCATGCAAGCGCAGCAAGTGTAACAGACTCTGGTGCAGGTGCAGCAGCTTCAGCTGCCCTGCCTTCTCCGGGACCACAATCTATGAGCAAAGAGATGGCGGGGGCTGGTGCGGATGGGGGAGAAACGCCTTCATTGTCAGAACTGGCTGCTTTCCTGAGAGTAGTGGGACGTGGAGCAGGGGCAGAAGGCGGAGAGGAGTCAGCTTGTGGGTTCTTGAGAGGGGTGGGTACAGTGGAGGGAAACACTGAAAGTGGAAGTGTGCAGGAAAGGGATGTTGGAGGAGGGAGAGGAGGGGTAGGAGGAATCAAAAGATTTGGAAAGCTGAAATCCCCAGCAGATTCTGGGGAAGGTGGGGCAAGATTAGCGAAACGTCTAAGACGAGCAGGAGAAGGTGGAAGCAAAAGTCTCAGCATCTCAGGTCTCGTCCACTCCCAGTACTCTGTCACTCCAGCTTTAAGACCTGCCTGCACTCCAAGAGCTCATAACACATGCCCTGGAGCAAGCTTGGCTACTGCTGCAGCAGGCGGGGATGGACGTGGCCCTTTCGCAGCAGTAGGACCCTCCCAGGGAGACATGAGAGAAGCATGTGGTGCTGTGAAACATTGGTCCCTCGAGCGTGAAAGCATGAACCTTCACCAGGAAGACCTGGACCTTTGCCTATCTCTGTCCCTGTCTCCTCCTTCTGCCGCTCGTCCTCCTGCTCCTGCTGCTCGTTCTCCTACTCCTACTCCTGCTCCTGCTCCTGCTCCTGCTCCTGCTCCTGCTCCTGCTCCTGCTCCTGCTCCTGCTCCTGCTCCTGCTCCTGCTCCTGCTCCGGCTCCTGCTGCTGCTGCTCGTTCTCCTGCTCCGGCTCCGGCTCCGGCTCCGGCTCCTGCTACTGCTGCTACTGCTGCTGCTGATGATAATGGTTTTCCTGCTCCTGCTGGTGCTGCTGTTGCTGCTGCCACTGTCAATCCTGATGCCCCTGGTGCTGTTTCTCCTGCTTCTCCTGCCTCACCAGCAGCTTGTTATACTACTACGGCTGACAAACATGCGGAAAGTCATCTTATGAGAGTAAGTGCGGCAGCAGGTTTTTAGGCAGCCAAGAACTCGAAGGCTGATCAGCCAGCGGGGATACCCCTGCAGGGGGTAACTAAAGCTGAGCCTGAGACATGTGAGATGCGGGTGGGCCTTGAGCGATTTGAAGCTGTACAGAGGGAGGGAGGCTGCATAGGGGAGTCAGGGAGATGTGGAAGACGAGGAGAAGAGTTGATGTCCGAAGGAGGGGTGAACGGAGAAGGAGGAAAAGTTAGTTTGGGAGGAGGGTCAAGACGGGTGGAGGGTGGTTCTGTTGAGATACTAGCAGAAAGGGTTGCCAGAAGTGAGTTCAGGAATGGAGCAGCCCATTTCCGCAGGCAACCAGGTACCCCTCCAGCTGCTTCCATGCATGCCCTTGCTCTCGTGCCCTCACATTCCCTCATGCCTGCTTGCTCCTATGCTCATCTGCCCACAGCCGTTGCATCAAGTGTGCCTGCTCCTGCTTCTGATCCTCCTGGCTCTGCTGCCGCTTATGCTTCTACTGTACATCCTGCCATTGCTCCTGGCGCTGCTCCTGACACTACCGCTTTTGCTCCTGCTACTGCTGCTGTTGCTGCTGTGATCAATCCAGTTACTCTTCCTCATCCTCCTCCTCCTTCCTCTGGATTTGGTGCTTCTTCTGATTGCTCTGCCTCTGCGGCCATGGCATCAGCAGTTGCAGATTGCCCCCTGCTTGCAGCGCTCCTCTCCCATCAAGCATCCCACTTGACCAGCTGCCCATCGCAGATCTCCTCTCTAGCTTCTCATCCTTTCAACTTAGAGTATAAACCTGCTTCTGTTGCTGCTGCTGCTCCTCCTCCTCCTCCTCCTCCTCCTCCTCCTCCTGCTGCTGCTGCTGCTGCTGCTGCTGCTGCTGCTGCTGCTGCTGCTGCTGCTGCTGCTGCTGCTGCTGCTGCTGCTGCTGCTGCTGCTGCTGCTGCTCCTGCTGCTGCTGCTGCTGCTTCTGCTTCGGCTTCTCCTGCTTCTGTTGCTGACGGCAGTGGTGGTGGTGCTAGTCCCGTTTTGGCGAGTTGTCAAGCACCTGATATCTTCAACAAAAAAATTGCTGCAGCCCCTGTTGCTGACGAGTGTGGTGGCGGCGGTGCTAGTCCCGTTTTGGTGAATCGAAGACCACCTGATGTCGTCAATGCACAACCTGCATATGCTGCTTCTGCTGTTTCTTCACCTGATGCTGCTGATACTGCAGCCCCTATTGCTGACAATAATGGTAGTGCTATTCCCGTTTTGGCGAATCACCAAGCATTTCATCGCTTCAACGCACAGCTCGCGCTTGCTGGTGCTGCTCCAGATACTGTTGATGCTGCAGCACCTGTTGCTGATGTTGTTGGCGGTGGTGGTGTGGGTAGTGGTGGTGGTGGCGGTGCTAATTTGTTCAGTTTGATTCGCCAGGCACCTCATCTTTCCAATGCACAGCTTGCACTAACTGGTGCTGCAGCTGCTCGTACTACTGGTGCTGCTGCCGATGCTGCTGGTGCCACTGCTGGTGCTGCTTCTGGTGATTCCGGTACTGCTGCTGGCAATGTTTTCTTCACAGGAGAAGTTTGGAAAAGCGAGGCAAGGCAGGTCAACAGGCAGGGTATAAGAGATGCGACAAGCGGGGGAGAGGGGAGGTCTGTGGATTATCTAAGGCCGGATGGTCAAGTGGGGGGTTTTTGGAGAAGAAACGAACAAGATAGGGGTAAGAAGAGAGGGAGAGATGAGGAGGAAGAGGGGGGGGAGGAAGAAGAGGAGGAGGAAGAATCGGAATCTGAGGTAGAGAGAAATTGCTTGCCAGTGAGGATAGTCCAAGGGTCAGTTGCAAGGGAGGCATTGGGAGGAGGTCTGGCCACGGTGCATGGGGATACAAGGAGAAATGGTGGTAGTAAGAGTGGTGATGGGGCACATGGTGGTGCAAATGGTGGGCGGAATCACGGGGGAGACGTAGGTGGTATGTCTGCCAGGACTGGGAGAGGGCATAGTAGTTGGTGCAGCATAGCACACTCGGGCGGCAGAGCAAGGCAGAAAACGACAAAGGCAGCAACGGCAGCTCTGGGAGCACCTGTAACAGCCACCAGAGACGCTGCTGCAACTATGCAGATTCCCTCGGATGGTGGTGAAGCCAGCAGCAACGGTGCACCTGGTCATCCTTCCCCTGATCAACCAAAAGGTGTCAATTCAGATCGTGTTTTTCCATCCACACCGGTGGTCGGCAAGCGAGCAAAGAAGGACAAAAACATGTACCGAGGTGTGCGGCAGCGGCACTATGGGAAGTGGGTGGCGGAGATCCGATTGCCGAATAAGAAGTCTCGCCTTTGGCTTGGAACGTTCACCTGCCCAGAAGAGGCTGCCCGGGCATACGATCGGGCAGCAGTGAAAATGCGTGGGCCCAGAACGTTGATAAACTTCCCGGATGAGTATGAGAATCGGCAGAATGGGGCAGAAGATGACTTGATGGGGTCTAAGGGGGGGGAATGAGTGGAGAAGCGGGAGATGGGGGAGGATGAGGTGGGGTTTATGTGGGGGGGTGAGGCAGATGAAGAGCAAGGAGGGAGGAATGGGGGGAAGCATATGACTGGAGAGGGTGAGGATGAGGGGAGGGGAGTGGAAGGCCCAAGGCAGCACACGAGGGGAAGAACAATGAGCAGGGCTGAAGGGAAAACGGAGAGCGAAAGGGGAGGGGGGTTGATGAGGATGAGATTGATGTGCATCCTTGTGAAGGGCATGTGGATGAGCGTCCATGGTGTATGGATGAGTGTGCATGGCATGTGGATGAGTGTGAAAGGCGTATGGACTATTGTGTATACCATATGGATGAGTCTGCATGGTGTATGTATGAGTTTGCATGGAGAGTGGATGGCTGTGAAATGGTTGAAGTAGAAGTGATATCTTGCAACCGTGAGTTGCACTCGCGAGTGAGTGATGGGCTGCATAAGTAACTGGTCGCACCCATTAATTTGGAATGCAAAGCTGGTTAAAGTGGCAGTGTACATTTGGCAGCGGGGTTCGGGGTTTTACAGTGTGCCCCGCAATTTCGCCCCCACCATGTACCATTTATAAACTTTTGGCACTCTCCCTGCCAAATGTGTACTGCTGCTTTAAGATGCAAGTATCGGAGAGAGTGAAAGGGTTTGTAGAGTGGAAGGGTTTGTGGAGGAGTTGAAGAGCTTCTGGGATTGTGGATGGGCATATGCAAGGATGAGAAGAGGTAAAGAATGGTTAACATGATTTTTTAGGGCAACGTGTTTGACTATGCTGGCAGATGTGCATTGGAGGGTGGCACGTATCAGGTATATTCCCTAGAGCATGTACAAAACATGTAAAGAGAATCACAATAATATGTGATGCTAAAAATATATATTCCCGTGGTGTCAAACTCATCCAAAACCTCCACTCTCACTCAAAATTCGAACTCCAACCCTTTTCTCCACCCTGAACCACACACCACCCCACCCCACCCATGCTCCATATACCAGCCTTTGGCACTTTACAATATCCTCTCAACTTCATGTTAACAGTTGTCGAGCTTTTCCTTCGTATTCTAATCTTATCCCGGCCAACTCCTCATACCCAATTTTTGCTAGATTCACGATAAAAGGTTTAAAGTTGGGGCTGGCAGTGAGTAGGACATGATTTGTGGGAGGGGGGGGGAACTGATGAAGGGCCTGTGCTACACTCGTGACTAAGCACAAATCGTGTCAGCGCTCAACAGCAGATACATTCTCCTCATAAAAACATGTTTCAGTATCACATGCCCTGCATTACCATTTCACCACTTCTCATCCTATTGTAATACATTGTCTTTGATTCAACCCGTGCACTTTCCAAAACCATCCCATCACTCTCCTTCACCATGCCTTCACACTCCACAACCACCCCTTCAAATTCTTGCCTACAACCCTTTCACACTCTCTTCTCCACCATCCCTTCACACTCTCTATCGCACACCCTTCACACTCTTTTGCTAGGCTCATCACCTAGCTTTTCATTCTCTTTACCACCACCACAATCCAGCTGCATTCCTCAACCCTTGGCTACCCGTGTTGAAGCGGCAAAAGCAGCAACGATGAATCCAGTCATGAAGCTTTCCAGTCCCTAATCCGCCTACACAGTCCAGCAGCATCTATCCATTCCAGCAGCATCAGTGATTCAAGTCTCAGTATCAGCAGGATCCATCCACTCCTCTAGATCTAGAATCAGTTTTTGAAGTCTCTGTCACTATCACCGCCACTGCAGCTAGAACCATTCCTCACGTTCAGTGGATTCCTGTCTTCGCCACACTCCAGCTGCATTGATCCACTCTTGCCAACATAGCAAAAGCGATTGGCCTTTTTGTCCAGATGCTTCCTTTGCAGTTCAGCCGAGAACAAGACGGATTCAAACTGTATTCCATTGACACCCTACTCTCTGCTTTCCTTCCATTGCTATCTCTCCTTCCATGCCCTTCTATTGCCCACTCCCCTCCATTACACTTCTTATTCCTTCCCCCTTATGCTATTCTTCCAGTGCCAACTCCCCTCCATTACCCTTACCACTAACATCTACATTCCTTTCGTCCCCATCACTCCCTTTTTCCTTCAGCACTGCTTCTCACCTTGTTCCATCATCTCCAGCCTTCTGCCTTCCACTCCTCTGATTGACTGCAGCGTGCCCCGTCAACCTACTTTATTGCTTCACTCCACACCTGTCCTGCCCCTCACCCTCCTCCCCCACCTATTTTCTGTCTTCCACTCTGTTGGTGCAACCCTAAGGTTTGCACTCGGCTTGTTGTCCGTGTGCATGCATGTGTGTGTGTATGGAATGGTATGAGGGCATGGGATAATATATATTTCATGCTTATAATTGTGTATGAATGTTGAGTCATGATGTCGAGTGTGTGTGTTGAGTCAATAGCGAGTTATCGCTAGACGCGTGTTACGCGGTCGTTTGTGTCTCGCGCGCGGTTTTTATTTTTGTCGTGCGCGGTTTCTATTTTGTCCTGTGTCGAACGTTCGGTGTGTCGCAGGTGTGTGCAGCAGACCCATCAAGAACTCAAGGATGAGTTTGTGATGAAGAGCCCGAGCCTTGGTGTCAAGCCTCAAGTGATTTCGAAGCTCGCCAAAAGGGTACACCTCAAGATATTGAAGATAGTTACATTACTTTGTGTAGTGTAACATTTCACTTGGTGTAGGCCCTAGTGAAGGGTAGTTTCGAGACCCTTCGTGGTTGGGGACAGTGTGGCACTGTTCCACATCACTGTACCTCGGCTCTTGGGGTTTGTAGGAGCTGGGAGTCATTCCCAACTCGTAACTCTTCATATCTCTTCCTATTATGTGTTCTAAGACTATAGTGGCTGCCATAGTGCCGTTCGTTCAAACCGACACTGTGTCGTCAATACTTGGTGAAATTGTGCGATCTAAATTGCCTATTGCAGGCGACGTTCAGACGCTCCAGATCCAAGTTGAATCAGGTCATTTGAAGTTGTGACCAGAACGCTATGAACGTTTGAAGCCGCTGTGCAGAAATCCGGCTGTGCACTCTATCTTTCGTTTTAGGCACATTGGAGCCTATTGTGACTATAACACACTCGTCGCCCTCCTACCCATCACCCCTTACAATCACATCCCAGTGGATACGGCAAGCCCACTTCAACCCTGCTCTACGCCCATTCACTCATCTGCTGCCTTCTGCCTTGCACTCACATCCATCTCTCCTCCACCCCATCAACGTTACCACTCTCATCCATCTCCCCTCACGCCCTTTTTCCTTCAGCCTTGCTCCCCACCCTCTCCCTCGTGTGCTGCCTTCTGCATTCCACTACCCCTTCCCTCATCCTCCCCCTCTCCAAAGGTATCTATCTCCGCACTCTTCCCTCCCTCCCCTCTATCTGCCGCACTGTCCCCTTTACTACCCACCTCACCCTTCCTCGTCTCCCCCTTCTCCACTCCCTCATCTCCCTCCACTCCCTTAAACCCCAACAACCCATCTTCTGCCGCATTCCAACAATTCTCATACTCATCCGGAAAATTCGTCAACGCTCGGGGCCCACGCAGTTTCACCGCTGCCCGATCGTACGCTCGGGCAGCTGCTTCCGGGCAGGTGAACGTCCCAAGCCATACACGGGATTTCTTCTTGGGAAATCGGATCTCTGCCACCCACTTCCCACACTGCCGCTGCCGCACCCCCTGGTACCGGTTTTTGTCCTTTTTTTTTTTCTCGATTGCCGACCGGCTGCTTGAATTGGAAAGACGGGGCTGAGTCACCACTTGTGGGTTGATTAGAGAAAGCGTCAGCACATGCACCTTTGCTGCTTGCTTCACCAGCATCTGAGGGAATCTGCATAGTTGCAGCAGAGTCTTTGGCGGTGGCTACAGCTGCTTCCGCAGCGGCTTTACGCGTCTTGGGTCTTTTCTTCCTTGCACTGCTGCCTGAGGCTGCTCCACTGCACGCACTATGCCAACTCCCACTGCTAGCAACCATACCGCCTCCCTTCCCTCCACCATTACCCTCAGCATTCCCACCACCACCACCATTCTCACCACCCTTTCCCCGACCATGCCCACCACCACACCCACTGCCACCATCTCTCCTCATGACCCCATCCCTCGCTGCCATACCTCCTTCCAAGGTCTCCCTTTCACCTGGCCCCACCTGACCTACCCCAAATTTCAACCCTTTTTGCTCTACCTTAACGTCCTCCTCCTCCTCCTCCTCCTCCTCCTCCTCCTCCTCCTCCTCCTCCTCCTCCTCCTCCTCCTCCTCCTCCTCCTCCTCCTCCCCCTTCTCCTCCTCCCCCTCCTCTTCCTTTCTCCATCTCTTTTTGCCTCTCCCTCCTTCGCTGCTTCTCCAAAGGATTGAAGACTCTACAGGTCTCATCTCTACCCCTCTTACCACATCACTCATTCGCTTCCATTTGTCTTGACCTATTTTTGTGAGAATGAGAGCATCAGTAGCAACACCACCAACAAGAGCAGTACCATCAGCAACAGCAGCAAGTGCAGTTTTGCGTTGAAGAAATTTGGTACTTGTTGATTCGCCAGAAAGCAAATCGCACTGCCACCATCACCACCGCGAGCAGCAGCAGCAGAACCAGCAGCAGCTGCAGCACCAGAAGCAGAAGCACCACCATCACCACCAGCAACAGCAGCTACAGCAGCAGCAACAATAGCAGGAGGAGGAGGAGGAGCAGCAGCAGCAGCAGAGGCAGCAGTCGCAGCCACAAGAGCTGCAGGAGAAGCAGCAGCAGGAGCAGGCTTGCGCTCTGAGTTGAAACGGTGAGACGCTTGAGAGGAGATTTGCTGTGGGCTGGTCCAACGAGATGCTTGACGGGAAAGGAGGGCTGCAAGAAGGGGGCTAGCCGCTAGTGTTGATGCCATGGCAGCAATAGAGGCAGAGCCAGGGGCGGAGGAAGGATCAGGAACAACAGGTGTGATTTCAGCAGCAGTAACAGCAGGAGCAGAAGTAGCAGCGCCAGTGGCAGCAGTAGGAGCAACATCGGCAGCGGCAGAAGCAGAAGCAGCAGCAGGAGCAAAAACGGCAGTGGGAGCAGTAGGAGCAGAGGGAGGTGCAGCAGCAGGAGCAAGGTTGACAGTGGCAGCAGCAGGAGCGGGAGCAGGCAAAGATGCATGCATGAGGGCATGCGAGGACACAAGAGCATGAGCATGCATGGACGCAGAAAGAGGGGTTCGTGGTTGCATGCGTAAAAGGGCTGCTCCATTCCTGGATTCACTTCTAACTCTTGCTGTCTCAACAGAACCACCTTCCACTCCTCCTCTTAGTCTTCCTCCCAGTTCTCTTTCTCCTCCTCCTCCTCCTCCTCCTCCTCCTCCTCCTCCTCCTCCTCCTCCTCCTCCTCCTCCTCCTCCTCCTCCTCCTCCTCCTCCACTTTCCCATCTTCCTAACTCTCCTATGCGGCCACCTTCCCTTACTGCCGTATTAGACTGCACAAGGCTCAACTGCACCTCAAGGGCCTCAACCTCGGCCCTACTTACCCCAAAAAAACAAAAATCTGTCTGCAGACAAGCCTCTGAGTTCATTGCTGTCTCGTTACAAGCAGTTGTATTTGCATCCACCAACGAAATGCGCAACAGGTTTCCAGCTGGAGAAATATGGCCAGCAACAGGTGAGGTAGCCGATGCAAGACAAACAACAGCACGTGCAACAGCACCGACAGAGGCAGCAGCAGCAGTAGCAGTAGCAGTAGCGGTAGGAGGATGAGGAGGAGAAGGGGAAACAGCACCACTGGAAGCAGGACGACCAGAGGCAGCAGTAGCAGCAAGATCAGCTGCATGAGGAGGAAGAGGAGGTGGAGGAACAGGAGAAACAACACCATGGGAAGCAGAACAGACAGAAGAAGCAGTAGCAGCAGGGTCAGCAGCAGAGTTAGGAGGAGGATGAGCAGGAACAGCAGGAGCAGGAGACAGGAACAGTGACAAGGAGAGGTCAAGAAGTTCCCTGTGCAGACCATCTCTCACACCACTGCTCGCATCTCTCCTACTTCCCAGACCATGCCTCTGAGACGTGTCAGGAGTTTCAATGCTCTCACACTTGAACAACCCGTCTTTCACACTGCCACATGCATCTCTCATGCTTCCTAGGGCAGGTCTTCCTGGTGGGAAAGGGGGTCCTCCTCCCTGCTCTGCTACAGCAGTACCTGAGCTTGTGCCTGACTTTGTGCCTCTGTTCAGAACCCTTGTGCCGCTGATCGTTCCGAAAGCTGGAGTAAAAAGGGCCAAGGACTGAGACTTGAGGAGATTAGAGACGTTCATACGTTCGCTTGCTCCTTCGGCTGCTTCCATTAAGATTCTCACGGACCTTGTCAAACCTTTTCCCAGATCTACTTTGGATCCAGTTTCTATTTGTCCTACTATTCCTTGTATCCCCCGTGTTCCTCCTAATCCTTCTATCTTTTCTCTCCCTCCCATCCCTCGTCTCCCTTCTCACTCTCCTCCAACATCGCTTTCACGCCGTCTTCCACTTTCTGTGTTTCCCTCAGACGCCACAACCCCTTTCGACAACCCACCAGCTGACTCCTCTCTGCCTTGTTCACCTGCTCCACCCCTTCCACTGCCTGCTATTTTTATAAATGCGGCCGAATCGGGCAATGAAGGAGTGTCTAACCCGTCTTCACCTGCCTCAGAAGTCCCTTTGCACCTGAATTCTGGTCCCAGAGCAGGCAGGGCAGGCAAAGCTGCTGCTCTTGCACCAGAGAGTGTTTCTCTTTCTGCTCGTGCGTGGACTCCCCGATGCACGCCAATATTTGGCAAAGCTGCTATATTTGGGAATCCTGTCCTTCTTGAGGCTTCTGAAGGTTCCCCAACGGTACTAAATTTTAGGATCGCAGCTATGATTCTTTGCTGGTGCTGTCGCTGCTGCTGCTGCTGCTGCTGCTGCTGCTGCTGCTGCTGCTGCTGCTGCTGAGTCTAGTGTTGCTGCTCCCACTGCTGATGCTGTTGTTGCTCCTGATGCTCCATCTGCCGCCACCCCTGTTGCTCCTGCAGTTGTTGCTGCTGCTTCCCCTCCTGTTGCTGCTGCTGTTGCAATCGATGGCATTGCTATTGCCACTCCCACTGCTGATGCTCTTGTTGCTCCTGATGCTCATTCTGCTGACACATTGGTTGCACCTGCTGTTGGTTTTGCTGGTTATGATGTAGCTGTTGCTGCTGCTGCTGCTGCTGCTGCTGCCGCCCTTGCCAAGAAATCAGAGCAGAAGAACTCTCATGCAGTCCAGCAGGTGGGGCGAAAACCGCAGGAAACGTTGGCAAGAGCGATTGAGCGTGAGAGGACTGGGAAGGCAGCAGTGAAGACACAGCCATCGGCAAAGAATCAGCAGAAAATAACTGGCCAGGAGCATGCTGCATGGATGCAAATGAGCAGAGAAGAGACGTTGCGGCGGGTGCAGGAAACTGTCTATGAGTGGAGGTATTCAGTGGGGATAAGACAGGCGCTGGGCATGAAGCAGCCGCAGGGCCTATCGATCCATGCAGTGCATGTCTCAGTGCCGAAAGTTCTATGGAGAGTTTAGTTGAAAAGGCAAGCGGAAACGACGGCCGTGGGGACGAGGCAGTGGGGTTATAAGCAGATGGGGAAAAAATTCCACGCTGCGGAATGATTGCTGCTGACTCTTGTGCTGCTAGGGGCCGTTCTTTAGCTTCGTCTGTATGCTGTTGTGCTGCGTGTCTTTCAGCCCATAGGCTGGTTCCTTCTGGTTTTATGTCTGCTGGGAGGTCTGTGGTGAAGGCTCTTGAAGCACCTCTTGAAGTTTGCTTCTACATGAGCGATGTTTGCTGCTGCTGCTGCTGCTGCTGTCGCTGCTGCTGCTGCTGCTGTAGAATACCCAATAGCTGGATCATAATGGCTTGGGGTTTGCTCACGCTCCCTCCTGAAGACCCACTGTCTCTCTCGCCAGCAGTTTCAATCCCTTCGGACAGGCAAGGGCATAGTGCCACTGTTCTCAGCAATCATGCCTTGAGGCCCCCTCCTTCCTTCAGAATCCGCAGGGCCGCTCAAGGAACGGCCAATCGAAGTGGTGGAGAGCGGTGGGGTACCGTTGGAGACGCTTGGGTATGCGGTTGCAACAGGAGTGGTCCGTGCGTATTCGCAGGAAGGATTATGCGGTGGAGCAGCCTTGGTGCTAAGGGAAGGACGGTCTTCCGGCAACGAAGGTGCTAGCGTGAGAGAGAGGTGAGTGGACCACAGAAAGTTAATCAGTACCCGGTATTGCCCAGACTTTCGGAGGGACTCAGAATCAGCACAGGGGATGACATCCCAAAATGTGCGAGGTCGGGGTAGGATGTTTTTTAGGGATTGCGAAGGAGTATCTTTCCTAAACCTACCTACAGGTTGCATTTCTGGGTTCGCGACTCGGGAATCAGTGGGGTGGAGCATCGAAGAAATTTCCACGCTACCCTCGCGAGTGATATTATTGGTCGAACCATTTCGACTTCATCCAGGAAACTTCCAACAAACCATTCGGGCGATTGCTATTGGTCGTTAGGTTCAAACCTACTGCTCTGTAAGAATTGAGTTTTGATGTACTCCTTCCAAGAAGCAGCGGCTTGCGAATGGTTTGGCACAAAACTGGTCCCACTAAAGATGTTCTCCGTTACTGTGCATCCAGAAAAAATTGTGATGGAAGTTGTCTGTTGAAATGTGCCTTTTCAAAAATAGTAAAGAGCTTTGAATGCTTAGACATGCATTTTTTAGGTCCTACTTGTCACCCAGCACTTTTATCAGTTTAAATTACATGATAAAGTATAGAAATTGTCTGTTATGATCGTTGGGATGTTAAATTCACCACTAAATTGTTCTACCACCAACTACGGTAATAGTAAAAGATCACGACTCACTATGCCGTTTCAACGCTGTGTTTTTTTTTTTTTTTTTGCAAGATTTAATCATATCACTAAGTCTTAGATGATATGAGAAGGCTGTCAACCTAATTCAATGGCAGTCGCATGATGGGAGACGATATCGATTCAACGCTGCGTGGTACATTTTTTTTTCAATGTTTTTTACCACCACTGAGTTATTAATGACATTAATAAGGGTGCCAGCCCATTTTTGTGTCACTCACATGCCACCACCATAAGTGATTCTATTTTGAACATCAAATGAAGTTAATGTCAGAACATTATAGCTTATGCTTTTGTGTAGGCTATAGTGGGGTATCCCATAGGGGGTACAACCCAATTAGGGTTGGTACTTGTACCCACTTCACTCATAGTTCATTCATTCGCGTTCACTCTTTCACATGGAATCAGAGCAGGTCCCCTCCTAGAAATTGTTCCCAGGGCCCACCAAAGCGCGCCCCGAGGCGCGCGTTCTTTTTTTTTTTCGCGACCCTCCGTGTCGCCCCTAGTGGCCCGTTACGCCGC